CTTAGCGGACGGATCGCCCCGGGCTCCGGCGAGGCGCACGGATGACGCGTCCACGCGATCGCTCCCAGAGGCCGCGCTGAGCCCCGAGCCCGCTCAGTGCTGGCGAAATGCCACCGTCCGACACCCCCGGGGACCAAGGCACACGAAGGACACCTTTCCCTCCGGAGGCGCGGCTGGGCCTCGTGAACGGGGAGAGAAACGCGCTGCGCAGACCCGGACGCCCGGAACCGAGAGCAGTCAAAGCCTCAGGCGGAGCAGGGGCGCGAGGAGCAGGTCGGCCAGGGCCGCGGATGCAGAGTTCCAGTCCCGGGAGGCGCCCTTCACCCCGACAGGGCGACCTCGGCTCGGTGTTTCACCAACCCCGCTCGGCCAAAGGCAGGAGCCCGGGCCTGGGACTCCTGCACACAGGCCCGGCTGCGGGCGCACCAGGCGTGCACAGCGTTTATGTGTTCTAGCAGGAAGCGGTTTACAGAACAGACGCCTTGAAAACAGGGAATGGCTTTCGCGGGGGGTATAGTTGAGAGTAGAGAGAAAAAGCAAGCAGTTCCTAAAATTGCGTAAGGATAACGTCATCTAGTGTTTCATAAAATCCGTGTTGTGATGAACCTGCGAGCACCACCGCTTGCGGCCGGGCATAGAGGGCGCCAGTTTCACTGTTAATAGTGAAATACGTTTTCTGGGAGCCATCGTTTAAAAGATCACCCACTAACACGATGCCTCCTCTGCCTCCGCCTTGCGGACTCTTACACATCTCCGGACCTCTGCTCCCCACCTAGGGAGGGAGCTTTCCTGGGAGAAACAACTCCTTAGCTCCGCACCGCTGGCCCCAGAGTGAGAGAGCTGCCCTCAGCACCCACACAGGGGCGGCAGCCACAGTCCCCATTCTAATCTTTATTTACAGAATAGAAAAAAAAAAAAAAAAGGCAACATCAGGACTCATGAACAGGTCCTTTCTGGAAAACATCTTGAACAAAATGATGACGTTTTCTCATTCACCCTGCAACCTTCTCATCCTGGCCCGAGGTCACCATGGTTCCGTCCTCCACATGTAAACAAGGAAGGATCTCTTGTGCGTGAACCTGAGGGGAGTAAAGGATTGGTCAGTGGCCATGGATACCTCCTGAAAAGTGGCTTGTCCTACCTAAGTCAGGGAGTCGCTCTGCTACCTCTTCCCAGGTATCTGCTGCTCCTGACCTGGTGGGGGCCTCAGAGCCAGCAGTGTGGGGACCAAGGCGAAGGACGAAGTCGGGTAACACAGAGGCCATGCCACTGCCTCTGCTCTCCTAGCGCACCCTAGAGGCCGTCTGGAAGGGGTGATGGGGGAACATTCACATCACTGTTTTTTTAACCACAGGAAAGACACACATCCGTTTTTCACTCCCTCCCTCCACCCCTCCCTTCCTCCCTCCCTCCTTTCCCTCACTTCTTTTTTTCTTTCTTGTTCTCTCTGCCCTCTCCTGCCCTTTTCTTCCCTTCTCTCCCCTCCTCTCCTCTCCTTTTCCCTTCCTCCCCTCTCCTCCCCTTCCCTTTTTTCCTTTCTCTTTTGAGGTTAGAAACACAACAACCGTAGTTTATAAGCAATGTACCTCACGAATATATGTGCATGTTTAGTTTTCAAGTCAAACTAATGAAACTCGTGACTGTTAAAAACATGAGGCTATGCTTAATGGTTTCCATGTGACATGAGAATTTAGAATAAGTGGAAACTAGTTGAGGGCTTCATTACAGTTAGATAAGATTGCATTTTGTCCAGCACCATGTATACGGCTGAACTGTAGGTGATTCACAGAACATAATTTCATATTCAAAAATTTCCCCATGGCTCTCCTTGGTGCTGCCACCCATTCCCCTCTCCTGGTCCCTCCTGCCAGGCATCAGCCAGCCACACAGAGACCCCAGGAGAGGCTCAGCAACCCGGCCACTGCCTCCCACTCTAGGGCTTCTGTGGTTGGTTGTGTGCATATTGTTTGTTTTGCTTTTGGTTCTCACGGTGCTTTCTTTCTTTCTGTCCCGGGATCTAACCTAAAGCTTGGGCCACTTTGCTTCGGCCACTACTCTCTAGTGTCACAAGCCTGGCCCTGTTCCCAGGTCTCGAGTTCATGTCTGCCATTTAGGCCTTTGCATTTTGCCTTGGCAGTTTCCCAGGCTCTGCACGGGCAATGCTTTTTACAGCCGAGGTTGGTTTATCATCTGCAGGTCTGTAGTTCCCAAAGTTGGATTCTAGGCCTCTCTACCAGGCTGTAGGTGTGCACTTCCAGCCTCTCAGTTAGAAGAAGCAAATAGGAGAACGAGCTGAATTTATATTCGGACCCAAGGCTGCCCTTTCTCCTTTATGCTTTTCATGTTGGTCATGAATGGCACCGGCCACGTGACTGCCCTTGCCAGGATGCGGGGCGTCGCTCCCAGATCGGGAGAGTTCTGCTGTGCTCTCCTAGCCACATGTTTACCTGCCCCATCCCCGCCCGTGTACTTCTCCACACCGCAGCCTGGACTGACACTGCGTTCATGTCCTCCCGTGAGTTTCCTGTGTCCGCCTCCGCGAGCTCCTCACCCTGTTGAGATTTTCTCTCTTTCTGAAGACCTTTAGATTGTTCGCGTGCTCTTGGGCTGTGATGCAGTTGTTTTCCTCGATGTTCTCACGCTACATCTTTCTTGACACGGCCAAAACATCTTCTTTTCTCAACATTTAATGGATAGAATGTCATTACAGACAATCTAGAGCTCTGAGATCTCTACCTCTTGGCCGTCGGTGGCTTTTGAATTAAATTGCTTGAATTTTTGTTCTCCATAAAGCTGATGGCTTTATGGTAAATCTTCCTTGAGAAGCTGTCCTTTATTTCAGAGGCCCATTGTTACAGCTTGTATCTAGATGTCCCCCCAAAGCCACATGCGGACAGGCGGGAGTTTCAAAGGTTGTTGGAGTAAGGTGTGTGATGCTGGGATTAAGGGTGCGTGATTACTAAATTAGCCCACTGATTAGTTTAGCATGTCCTGGGTGTGGATACGAGAAGGTCGCTCTGGGTGTGGGTGGTGCCACCCAGAAGACAGGCAGCCTGGAGGGGATAGAAGGAAGAGGCTGCTGCTGTGCAGCTTCGATGCTCTGCTGCTCTCTGCCTGTCCTGCCATGGCTGTTTCTCCTCTGTGCTGCCCTGTGCTGTGCCGTCCTGCCTCGGAGCCAGCTGACTATGGACTGAAACCTCTACACACTGTGACCTGAAATAAACCTTTCCTCCTTTAATTCTAGGTGTCAGGTGTTTTGTCTCAGCAATGAGAAAAGTAGCCAAGACACCCATATTCCTGCCACTTGTATTCCAAAGGTCTTGGGTAGGTTTGGTAAATGTGCAATTAGCAGGGCTCACTCTTCTATTCATCTCCACACATGACCTGATATTTTCTTACGTCTTTCTCACACAATTGGAATCTTTAGTCCTCTCGCTTCCAACAGATCAATGTTTGACCTGCTTTTCGTCAGCTATGAATGAGTCTGAAGTCCAAGGCGGCTACTGGAGGTGGGTGGAGCGGACAAAGAAATCACTAGTGCCTCACTGGTGTCATCCGGCAGGGTCTGGAAACAGGGCCTCCTCCTCTCCTCTCCTGGCACATCCTTCCCTTAATCCCTGGGCTCTGGGGAACAGGGATAGGCAGATCCTTGATTATCAGAGGCCACAGACCCAGTACCCTTTAGATATAATAGATCTAAGATGAAAATGATGTAGCACTGCAGCACGGCCTCTAGATAAGGATACACGCCCCTTTATTCCCAGAGTCTCATCCAGGGAGAATTTTCTTTATTTGTGAGCAGTTTTGGTCCAGACCATTTCAGCTCAGTGTTGCGAGGCAATGCTAAGTGCAAAAAGAGTTCCTGCTGAGATGAAAATCCTTAGCCTGGGTTCATAAAAAAGCCAGGACCTCGTAATTAGCCAGAGAGGTGAAATACTCACATTACGCATGGCGGGTACCTGGGCGAAGTGCTTGCTTTCCCCACCTGGCTGCTTTCTCTGCCAGCAACATCTCTGCACTGGAGAAGATCCACAAATAGGCTGAAAGCATCATTTCACTTTGCTAAACACAAGAAGAAAAACCTATATTCCTCAGAGATCTTCACCCTCCTAAAATCTTTAGCAATACACAGGCAATAGGACACCTTGGAAGACTTGGGAAAACTCGCCCTCTGAAGCTAGTGCCACCACCCAGTACCATCGGTGCCACTGTGCTGAGGTTGCCTGTGCTGTGGTCACAATGGGAACGACACATGTGCAACGGGCACCTGCTAGAGGGTGAGGCCCATGCGCAAACGCTCTGTGTGCGTTATTTCACCGACTCCGCTCAGAACCCCTGTGGTAGGCAGCGTTCACATTCTCATCCTGAGCAGGAGAAGTGAGCCTGGAGGGGCTCAGATAAGAAAATGAGCATGGCTGAATGTTGGGCTTGACTCCAGACCCCGCTCTTCTTCCTCCACTACCTCAGGAGTCACTGTCCTAGTTTGACAGACTCTTGAGTTCTCGAGGCCTGCTTTCTTATGCATGTATTTTCATAAGACTGTGAGACTTACAGATAGAATGTCTACATTTAAAATCTCGTCCTCGGCATTCTACCTAATAGAATCTTTTAACTACAATATCTAATGTCCATACAATTTAAAAATGCAAATATAATGTTATTAAGTTTGCTTCCTTTTTTCGGTTCATACAACACCTCTGTCTTTTGAATGATTACAGTGGCTGTCGTGAAACCCAGTTTGTAGTAGAGACCACCAAATTGTTTCCATGTATCTAATGATTCATCTTTTTTTTTTTTTTTTTTTTTTTTTTT